AGACCGGGGGGAGGGGGCAGGTATGAAGGACTCCCCTCCGAAGAACACAACTCAGCTAGGTGGGCGGGCCTGGGGCTTGGGCTTCCCCCGCTCGTCGTCCCTCATCCCTCCTCCCCGTCCTCCCCCTCGAACGTATCCCTATCCCAAAGATGGGCGAGCAAAACGCGAGGACAATCTCAGGGATGGGCCCTCAGAAACCGAGGGAATCCTTAAGATCGGCATCGAGGTGAGGTGATGTCAAACATAGGGATAAGGATATGGTTCAAGCTTCAAACTGGCAACCCCCCGCCACATCCTCCCCCAACCACGTCGCCAGCGTCAGAGCGCTCCCCCGCAAAACTACTTCTCCATGCTCCTCCCGAGCCACAACCCCCTTCCTCGATGTCCGACCTCCCGCCATCGCCGCCCCGCGACTCGCCCCTCCCAATCCTCCTCCCTCGGCGACGACGGGAACGAGAACGACGACTTCCTTCTTATTACTGCTGATACAGCTACTATTCATCAACCCGTTCTCCAACTTAGGCCGCTGTTCAATCACAGGGCTGTGAAGCTGTTGCTACCTCTGATACTGGCGCAATTAACAAGGCACGGCTTCGAACTGCAGGTCGACGTGGATACGATTCGCGCTTCGATGCAACTGCAACCGTTCATTACAATGGTCCGCACAGTCTGCGGGCAATACTTCTGTCCATATCCACTGCAGTATGGAGTTTCGGGCTCCCTTCCCAAGAAACCCGAGGCGCACTGGATATGGATAAATTTGCCCCCTAGAGGCTCGATTCTTATCCATATCCAGTGCGCCTCGGCCTTGTGGCGCCGCTTCCAAAAAAGTCCAAGAGGCACTGGATATGGACATGAATCTTGCCCGCACAGTCATGCCCTGGAGGCTTGCGGAATTGCTGCTCCAAGCGCCACACTGCCAATCTCCTGCCGTGGACTTGGCCTCTCCAACAACCTCCTGGGTTGAAGGGGCCCCAGGACACACAAATAAATACACACACCTACAAAGATTCCCCATAGTTTCCTATATTTGTTTTTTTGGTTTTTGTCTTCCCCCCCACTTCCCATATTTTTGCATATTTTCCTGGGAGTCGACGATTAAGTGTGTCTGTGTGTTTCTTTCCCTCCTGATAGGTGGAAGCTGTAGGATCAAAGAAAGGCGATACCGGTTCCACCAACGCGGGCGCCAGGGAGGGTGCTCCTGGTGGTGTGGCCCCCTCTGGAGCTCGAGACATCCTACATAGCTCCAGCTCGGGGAGGCATCGTGGACCCCCCTCGCTGGAGGTGCCCACGAATACGTTCCCCAACGCAGATACAGGGACCTGCCGGAAACCAGAGCCCGTTCTAAACTCAAAGCAGTGATTGTCTCAGCGTCTTGATCGCAAGATCGCGCCTCGCAATCACGACCGCGAGTGGGGAGACATAAAGGTACCAATACCGCCACTGTCGGAGCTTTGACCAGAATTCCAGAGAGAATACAGCCATGGCGACGGGGGCCTGCATGGAGACCCCAGAAAAGCGAAACGAGGCAAGGGTAGCGGCATCGGTACCTTTTCCTCTTCCGAGCGAGGGCATGGATATGGATGTGATCGTGAACAGCGACGGCGGCGGCGGCAAAGCCTCGGAGACGCGGGATCTTCCGTCTCCTCATCCCTCCTCCTCCTCCTCCTCCTCCTCCTCCTCCTCCTCCTCCTTCTCGTCCTCCTCTCCTCCTCCTGCTCCTCCTCCTCGTCCCCTTCCTCCTGCTCCTCCCCCTCCCTCCTCCCTCCTCCCTCCTCCCTCCTTCCGCCTACTCCTCCCTTTTCCCTCCTTCCTCCTCCCTCCTCCCTCCTCCCCAGCCGTTTCGGCCCCGACCGCCTGCCGTGCCGAGAGGGCGCAGCGGGCTTCCGAGGCCACCGACGACCTCCACGCCACATTCGGCCGGCATCTGCAGCCTCCGACTGTGACTTCGGGGATCCCGATCACGAACCAGTCGGCCAGCCCTGATGGATACAAGGCAGGAAATGGCGCGATCAGAAGAACGCGCAGGAGGAGGAGGAGGAAGAGGAGGAGGAGGAGGAGGAAGCGGAGGCGGAGGCGGAGGCGGAGGCGGAGGCGGAGGAGGAGGCGGAGGAGGAGGAGGAGGAGGAGGAGGAGGAGGAGAAGGAGGAGGAGCAGGAGGTGCAAGCGGGCGATCCGTGGCCGCCGCTCCCCCTCCGGCCTGGGCCCCAGCGTGCCGTGGGCCCTCGCGGCAACGGCATCGGGCGGGCGCCGTGGCATGTGGCTCAGCAGCCGCAGTGGTTCATTCCGCCGCAACCGCCCCCGCCCGGGGCCCAGAGGCCTCCCAAAGACGCGCGCGAGTCTGAGGTGAACTGCTCGGCGTGTTTTCGCCGGGCACGGGTGCCCAAGCTCCAGGTGCACGAGAAGAACACCTGCCCGTGCGGGGCGGCGCCTTTTCAGCAACCCGCCCTTCGCCCGAGAGTGATGGCGAGGGTGTTGCGCCCAAGCTGCCCGCGGGTGGCGGCAAAGGCAAGGGCAAGGGCAACCCGTCCTCGGCGGCCCTGGAGGCGCAGCTGGAGGCGGCCATCAAGGACCGCGGGGGCACCGAGCAGGCGAG